TTTTTTTTTTTGTTGGCACTGTGACGTGAGAGATTACACGACAACTTATATTACCAGCTTTTAAGTGATTGACATAATACTTTTTTAGTTGGGGCTGAATACTCATAACATTTGCAATTATAATTTAGCATCTACAGTGTAACATGCTGCAACAGTCAATTCCTCAAAAGGCTCCTTGGAGAAAAAAAAACCCATTTAAGGCAGAATTTTCATTCACCTCAAAGTTACATATGAGTCTTTCATCAATAAGCTTCCAATTGATTCCTTTCTATTAGTTATGATTCTGCTCTGTAATCTACACCTGCTTGTTAAGGTGCTTCAGAGATCTGAAAGATATGATTACACAGTCTACAGTGATGGGCTGTTCTGCAAAACCCCTTGCCAACCTTAGACAGGCCCACACTGCAAAAAACGTAACACTTTTTAAGCTTTCAAATCATCTGTAGAAACTCAACAACTATTGGATGGACTGGCATGAACATTGGTAAAAATATTCATAGTCAGAGGTGGAAAATAACTAAGTGCATTTACTCAAGTACTGTACCTTTTGAGATTGGTATGGAGTATTTTAATTTTCTGCGACTTCATACTTTGACTTCATTACATTTTAGTAGCAAATATTGTACTTTTACTTCTCTACATTTATTAGATATTTAAGTTACTTCTTTGGGAAAGTCACAAGCTTCCCAGCAGTTCTTCAAATTAGCACCACCATTACCAGCTAGTCCATTACCAGCTGCAACATTAAATGTGATAATATGAAATAACAGAATGCGAAATGTGCCATTCAGTATAATGTATATTTTTACTTTTGGTACTTCATGCTAATACCTTTGTACTTTTACTTAAGTAACATTTTGAACTGCAGGACCTTTTACTTGTAACAGAGTATTTTTAAACTCTGGTACTGTTACATGTACTTAAGTAAAGAATCTAAGTACTAACTCCTAATGATTCTGGTGATCCTCTGACTTTCCCACTAGAGCTAGCAGCAGGTCAAAGTTTTCACTTGTCCTGGGAAATGTGTCAACATGTGCTGGAATAATTGCTTGAAAATGCAGTACAGAGATTTGTAATACCCAGAGAATGATTCCTGAGATCTTTGGTGACCCTCTAACGTTTCCTATATTGCAGCATGAGATTCATATTTGCAGTTTAAAGAGAATGTCTTAACTCTTCAGTGGATTGCTATGAAACTTGTTACAGACACCCATGTCTCTTGGGATTAATAAAAAAATGTAGGTGAGCCCTTAAATTTTTATCTAATGCTGTCATCAGGTCAGAATTTTAATTCATCCAATATTGGTTTATGACCAAATATCAGCAAACTAATGCAACTCAGATTTAGCTCTACTCTGTGTTCAGCGCTAATTAGCAAATAGCATGCATGTTAGCATATTTTCATTGTCATTGTGAGCATGTTAGCATGCTGATGTTAGCATTTAGCTCAAGTGTATGCTAAATGGTCTCAGAGCACATCGCACAGCTGAAGACTCTTAGTCTTGCTTGGTTAAAAAATAGGTCTACGTATAAATCAGATGATATATATTTCCAAACCAAATAACTGTGAGTTTTCTTAAAACTTGTTTTCATATCTCAAGTGTTCCTCATCATCAGCATCACCCTTATCCAAACCACTTCTGTCCAGTGAGAGAAGTGAGGATAAAAGGAGAACATGTGAAGAAACCAACTTTCTAATTTTGTGTTCAAGTAGGACTCCAGTGCTCACAGTAAGAAGTTGATTGACACAATGTGGTCATGTCTTTTACCATTTACCCTCCATTTGTCTTCACAAACACCCACCAATGAATTACACAGTATAGGGGCATTTATTAAGTTATATTTGCCTTTGGTTAAATAAAATATAGCTTAAATTACTTTGAATCTATTGTGTTTTCCTTCTTTGTTTAGCTTTATTATTGCAGAGTTGTTGTCTTGCCATTTGTATTTTTTATAATGTGAAATTAAATAAAAATCCTGGGATTCCAAAGCTTAATGGCTTATAAAATATTCATAAAACAATGCTTTGTTATCCCAACCTATAAACACACAATATAGCCCACCTCATTAGAAGGTGGTAAAACATTTTCATTATCAATTAATGTGCCAGTTATTTGTTCAGCTGAAAACATTAAATGCCAAATTATTCCTAGGTAAACAGATAAGTAAAGTGGCATTAAACTATGCAACTTCAGTGTCTTAGACAGTATGTGACTTTGGTATGATGCTGTATAAAATAAAGAGCGGCTTTCTTCTTTAGACTTAAATTTGCTTAGAGTTTAACACAGTGTTGCAAAACTTTTGTCCATGGTCCTGAACGGGAGCTGTCCATGGTTCTGAAGGGAAGCTGTCCATGGTTCTGAACAAGCAATCTTACAGACCAGCCCTGTAACGTGTCTGGCAGCTGTAGCCGTTCTAAAAATGATCATGTGAAGGGAAAGACACTGTAGTTGCATAATAAAACACACTAAAAACGGGCTGCATCAAAGTTTTTCCTTTGTGTGTGGTCGTGAAGAGGTCACGTGTCAACTTTTTTTTGTTGCCGCTACATCACTGCATCACAACCAATGGGGTATTTTATAGCAAACCAATTTGTCAACGGAATGACGTTGTTGCTGGCGTAGTTGCAGTTTGATGGCTCCTACTAAATGAATGCAGTGGGAATGGACGAGACACACTGCTGGTCAGACAGCGCGCACTGCTGACCTCCACGCACACCACTAGTTTAGGAGGATTTCTTATAAAGATTTTACTCCTGAGGCTGACTGTCTGTTTGAGTTTTCTTTGTAAGGATACGTGTTAGTTGACCTCACCAACTGTACTTTCATTATACAATAGGACACGTGTGGTAAGTTTTATGAAAACGGCATGTTTCATTCATTAAACTTTCTTGCGTAAAAACTTTGACGTGTTTCTGATGACACGAGCTAAACTTGCTCTGAACTATGGAACTTAAAATCTTAAAGCTCTACAATTCTGTTTTTAACAAGAGAATACAGATATGATGTGAAGGAGACGATTTCGCTCGTTTTTAACGAGAAACCTGTTTGACTGACTTCCTCTGTCTTGTTAAGATGGGCATTGTTAAAGGCTAGGGGAAGAAGAACAACTAAACAGCATGAAGTAAACATTCTTTTCTCTCTCCTTCTTTACTGGTGTCGGTCCCAGAGGACACAGCATGCTGTCGTCCCTGAAGACCCTGTTGCTGCTCTCGGTTCTGTGCACACCGACCTCCAGTCTGTGCCTCCGCCTCTACCAGACCCGCTCAGACTTCCTCTGCGACGACCAGGTGGCAGTCGGGGTCCGAAGCGAGCTGGGCTATTCCTCCGTGGACGGCTTGGGGTCCCAACTTCAATCCGCGGAGTATCTCACCTCCTCTTCCACTTCTGCTTCTGCGGAGTCCAGCCGATTAAAAAGGACTTCAAGTCCCACAAACTACCGCTTCACGAGCCGGACGAAGCTCAGAGGGCAAATGCTCCGTAACAGCAGCAAAGGGGACCGGAGGAGCAGGCTGACCCTGTCCCTGGACGTCCCGACCAACATCATGAACGTCCTTTTTGATGTAGCCAAGGCCAAAAACATGCGAGCCAAAGCGGCTGAGAACGCACGTCTCCTGGCGCAAATTGGACGGAGAAAGTGAACATGTTGGACAATTTTCATTTCACAAGCAGCCATGACCAGCGTTGGCCTCGTAATTCAAATGTAATGAATTATTTCGTATTCGCTTGTAAGGTAATGACTTTGAGTTGTTTCTCCAGGGGAACATTTCATTTTAAATACCCAGTCTTATTACAGGTGAAAGAAGCATACTGCAATAATATAATAGCTCTCATATGAAATGGTATTGAAGTTAAGGCTTATATCTTTTTTTAACTAATCAAAACACTGGGAAAATGTTCTTTACAGAAAATAAACAATGTGAACTAATGAAAAGTTCTGGTTAAAAGTTGGATGATGATTCCTAATTTCTGGTTTGGGCTCAGCTTCAAGCTCACAAATGATACAACTTTTAGCTGACTACATCACAAAATGTCAAATTCACAAAGTTATCTGAAATTCTCTTCTAAAGTTCAATAATTTATTTGTTTCTTTTGCCGTATCAGACATTTTGTAGCCACCGTGTCACTATCTTGAATCAAGACAACAGAGCAATAAAGCAATAAGGACAAAATCAATGTTATTTTCAAGATGAACATGGGTTGCCTTAAGGCTTTGAGCCCTTAGATGATCTTTTCCAGTAAAATGAATGTTTAATGTAGTTAGTTTGCCCCAGAGTCATGAAAATTAAAACCTTGGACAAAACTAGAAGAACAAAGCAGAATTATTTGTATTTTAGTAAAAGACAAATGAAATGTTTTGTAGTTCTGTTGCATAATCATAATACTATAGTTTCAAAGTAAAATTTGTTTCATAAGGATGTTTTAATTTTCATTTTCCAATTTATTTCACCAATTTTTTAAAGGGAGTTTTGTCGTTCTCCAGTTTTCATTGAAGCCTATAATGATTTCAGATTGTTGTGCAAAACATAAACAGTGACACAAACACAACACTGAACTACTGTACAAATCAACTGCAAGATCATGAAATACAGTCAAATGCTAATGCATGAGAATATATGTGTTCCTCAAATGTCTGTTATTTTTATACTCAAAATAAAGGATTATTTTTCCTCAAATAAAGCAAATGTAAGTACATAAATTTGCCTCCAGAATATTTTGAATAATAACCATTATTTATTCCTGTATACTAATTTACCCACAAGGTCTGAGTTATACACTGGCATCAAAGATCTTTTTTGTCTCACTGTGTATGTCTGCCACTAACTAGCAAATAATTGTATAGAAAAGTATAGTTAACGAAAAAAAGTAACAATATTGGCAGAACAGTTCGCCTGCCACGTCTCAGGACACAGATGATTGTCGACACCTTGTGGTGACTCTGGGAAGGTACACCCCGGGTGGTAAATCAGATCCTCCTGTGCAGCCCACAGGTTTCTCTTCTAAGCATATAAAATGAGCATGCCCTTATTTTTCATTCATCCAGTTTGGCTGTTGTTTCGAGTAAATTTGAATATTTGTCTGGACACTGTTATACTGGACTCATTCCAGCCATTTTGGTCTTTCTGATACTTTTCCATGTCCTCCAAAGCAAACAGGCAAAGTGGGCACCCACTTTTAATGTCTGGGATCCAAAAGTTCCAGGTTCACTTTGTCAGTTAAGTTACTTCCAAATTCCCCCACCCCCACTTTGGAGTGGTCCTATTCCTTCCTTCAAGCTCGGGCTTGATTTCTGATACCAGGCTTCCTGTCTGGTATGGTAGACCCCTGCCTCTATTGATCTTGTACTTAGAGCCTGTTCCTGTGCTGCCAGGATTAGTGCCTCTGTGCTGTCTGTCAGTCCAGCTTTGTCCAGCCACTGGTAGGATTTTTCACTATCACCCACTTCTTCTATCTGACAGTGGTACATACCATGCAGGGGTTTGTCCTTCCATGAGGGTTCCTGCTCATATGAAAGAAATAATGTACAGGCCTGGGCCTTGTCGGACTTTATCTGTCCTGCGTGTTCTTTTATGAAGAATAATCGGAGTCAAATGTCACCTTTCAAACATTTATTATCATAACTGAATGGACCATCGAATAAAGCAATTTACAGAGCTCTGGGTTCCATTTATTTGAAGCCCTACCAAACAACAACAAAACCGTTCAGTCTGCCTTCAGAGCAGTTGAAGCCTGTCCTCCTAAACTCAATTAATTTTATACAATTCGAATGTGCAATTGGGGTTGGTCTGGTCCTCTCGTGCTGTTCCATTGGTCCATCTATCCATCCGTCCTCCTCCTGTGTCCTTTCTGCTCCAATGGGAAAATGCAGCTTCCTAAAGAGGGAGGAAATTCTACTCTGTCTAAAGTCCTACACGCTCACTTCTTTCTTTGTTACTAACTACACTATATGAGACATGGCTTTCCATTTGGCTAATTAAACTGTCTTGCCTGTGTGTGTGTGTGTATGTATATGGTCCTGCCTTTGAAGTTATCTCCTCTTCCTGGCTTCTAGGTCTAACCTCTGTTTATTACTCTTGGTGTCCCAGTAACCCCAAATTTCCCTGATTTCTTCAGCCAGGTGGAGATAATAAAGTATCTGTGGACCCTCCTTGTCAAAGCTGTAAACCTAATAAAACTTAGTGTTGTAGTGAACAAGTCCCTTTGATGTTAAACAGTGCCCCAGTTGGCTAACACAGTAAATACTGACCAGGAATTCAATGAACACATAAAATGATATACTCAACTAATTATGTAAACATAACTGTGACATATACAGTACGTAGGTAAACTTATGTGTGCTATAAACTGAATCTTAATTATTTGTTTTCTTAATATGATAGAATAATCATACGCAAACAAAGTAAACACACAGGTTAACTAATCAACAAACATAGTGTCAATCTTTTACTAATTAAGTTATTAATTCAATCAAATGTTAGAATCAACCTTAAAGTATGACTTTGTTAATAATTTTTCCCAACAGCCTCTATATGTTGTTGGAAAACGTTCATTTCAACTTTGTATACTTTTCATTTAATTTTATTTGGCCTAAGGAACACCAAAACCGATCTGTAGGTACCCTTTTTAGTTCACTTTGAATAATGGCAAAAATATTGTGTAATAAACTGCGCTTTGTAATAATCTAACATAGACATCAGCGCCCCCTGTTGGCCATAAGGAGCTCTGCGTGTGTCGTATGTTCCGTCGACGTGGACCTTCCGACAGGAAGAGAGTTTTCAGTTTGGCTACGTGGAAGTAGCTTTTCTGAGGAGCGAGGCTGAGAGCATCTTTTGCCCTCATCCATTAGCGTCATTCCGACAACATGATTAAAAAGTTTGATAAGAAGGACGAGGAGTCTGGTAAGGTTTAAGAATTATTACGTTAAATAGTGAAAATGTTTTAATTACCCAAGTTGTGTCTGGACTGACAAGATGTTAATCGCTTTAGTGCTAGCCTGTTAGCGTCTTGTTAGCCGACTAGCCAAGGTTAACGCTACCTGTCAGAATAAAGTAACCTGCTAATTTATGATATTCTAGTTGTTGTAAAGGCCAGGTGTGAACTGATTGACTTAAATTTGTAACTGGTGTTTTCTTTTGACACAAAACACCAACACTAGTCCTTTAATGTTTAAGCGTATTACTCATATTAGCATTGCAAGCTAGGCATTGTCACTTGCATATTGTCATCATAGTTTTGCTTGGTAGTAGACGTGCCTTCTCTGAAGGTGAGCAGGAAATATAAACGGATTAACCTTAATGAAGGTGTGCTCCAATTTAACGATCTGTGTGCATGTGTTTTAGTTGTTGAGCCATTCGTATGTGTAACATTAGCATATGCTACGTTCAATTGCTGTGCACGTCTGATCCTACTGTTTTGACATTTAGGAAGTGGGTCGAACCCTTTCCAAAACCTGGAGAAGAGTGCCGTGTTGCAGGAGGTAAAACTGGCATTAAAATTTGCTTACATTTTGCACATATGAGACAGAAGTTAGAATAACTTGACTTGACTTGACTTGGCTCTTGAATAAATCATATACGATATTAGAAAAATCCCTGAAATTAGCTAAGGTGACGCTTCTTGTTGGCAGGCACGCATCTTCAATGAGACTCCTATCAATCCCAGAAGATGTCTCCACATTCTCACCAAGATTATCTACCTTCTCAACCAGGTACAAAGTCAAAAATACAAAGATATGGTTATTCATTTGAATGTGTTGAGTTAGTGTCTGTCCACCCATCTAAACATCTTGCCTCTTATTCCCCATGTTTATATAGGGAGAACATTTTGGGACCACAGAGGCAACAGAGGCTTTCTTTGCAATGACCAGACTCTTTCAGTCCAATGATGTAAGATATCATTAGTTTGTTTAAACATTTAAACTCCGTCTTAGGTCGAGCAGGATAGTATCAGTCTGTTCTGTATGTATGCAGTGTTAAAATTTAAATATGCTCTTATACTGTCCTCCTCAGCAAACCCTGAGGAGGATGTGCTACCTGACCATTAAAGAGATGGCCAACATCTCTGAGGATGTCATCATTGTCACTAGCAGGTTTGTATCAAGATGTCAAATGGCTTTGAGTATTGCCTGTTTGCAAACATTGATATCTCACGCAGGAGGAGTCTTCTTGGCAGAAACAGTTTGCTCACATTCTCTTAACATCTGTTATTTGAATGCAACTATTATGATCCAGTAACACCAGGGTTCATGATGTAACATGTAGCTATTCAAAAATTAGATGGTTCTAATGTTGTTGAAATCTGATGACAAGAGCAACTTTTTTGTGAATATTTTGCAAATCATTTTCTTATTGAGCTTAGTTATTTCTTACATGGTATTTTACAGCCTGACCAAGGACATGACTGGGAAGGAAGATGTTTACCGAGGACCTGCTATCAGAGCCCTCTGCAGGATTACAGATGTGAGTTTTGTTTCCTTCCTCTTACCTCTTGTTTGCTTTGCCATCACATCCAAAAACATTCTATATATTAAAGTATATTAACTTAATGCACTCTAATTAAGAAAATGCATCATAATTCATAAAAAATGCTGTATCTTTTGTTACACTTTCCCTGTCTTCCCCACAGACCACCATGCTGCAGGCCATTGAGAGGTACATGAAGCAGGCTATTGTTGATAAAGTTCCCAGTGTGTCCAGTTCAGCTCTGGTCTCCTCACTGGTAAGGCATGACGCACACTAATCCACTGCAAATCCAGAAAATGTAATTTATTAGGACAAACTTTGATAAGCATTGGCTGTGGGTGATGTTCTTCTGTTTTTGTGCTGTTAGCACATGGTGAAGATAAGCTATGATGTGGTGAAGCGCTGGGTGAATGAAGCCCAGGAGGCGGCTTCCAGTGACAACATTATGGTCCAGGTGGGTAGTGCAGACATGCATACAGACTTGGAAATTCATAATCATGTCATTGTGAACCAGTAATTGCGTGTGTAGACAACCATGAATTTAAAGTGTTTGTGGCATGTTCATTTCTAGCCATTTAATTTTTAATCTTGAGTACCTCTAGGTTGGCTTTGCACACATCATAACTCCAGATAGTCTGTAATTATTGCATAATGATAAACCCCAATATCACAAGGAGAGCCTCCTCCTGTTGCTGGTCAGGAAGCTACAACAATGCATAAACAAAATAACTTTGACAAATAAGATGACAATGACAATACCTCAAGTCCTACCAGACGTGTTCGAGCCATAATATGAAGGCGACAACACAGCAAACTGTAATGACATTAATTAATTTGAATTTCTCCATAGGTAGGTAAACAATAGTATATGTACCGATGAAAAGAGATGTGTAACACTCTAAACAAAGCGAGTAATTAGAAACCCCATATTTTAACTTCGCCAGCCTTACAACAGTTCTGTCTACACAAACAACACATTAACAGGCATGCAGCGTGTGTGTGTGTGTTTTTTTTTTAAACTTCCCATTTAGTCCCACTGAGTAGTGGAAACATCACTCCCTTTCAGGTAGCTCCAAGGTCGGGTAAATCCAACCGGTGATCGCTGCGTCTTCCCTTACAAACCCCTCAAGTTACAGGCAACCACATTCCCAAAATAGTGAATGTGAGTGAACATGTCGAAGTGTCCTTGAGCAAGACACTGAACCCCCAGTTG